AACTGAACTAGAACTGAACTAGAACTGAACTAGAACTGAACTAGAACTGAACTAGAACTGAACTAGAACTGAACTAGAACTGAACTAGAACTGAACTAGAACTGAACTAGAACTGAACTAGAACTGAACTAGAACTGAACTGCACTGAACTGAACTGAACTAACTGAACTAGAACTGAACTAGAACTGAACTAGAACTGAACTAGAACTGAACTAGAACTGAACTAGAATGAACTAGAACTGAACTAGAACTGAACTAGAACTGAACTAGAACTGAACTAGAACTGAACTAGAACTGAACTAGAACTGAACTAGAACTGAACTAGAACTGAACTAGAACTGAACTAGAACTGAACTAGAACTGAACTAGAACTGAACTAGAACTGAACTAGAACTGAACTAGAACTGAACTAGAACTGAACAAAACTAGAACTGAACTAGAACTGAACTAGAACTAACAACAAACTGAACAAGTTTTGAAGAGAGTATATTTCTGAATTTAAACCAATTTTTTGTTAACCGGAATATTTAGTGTAATTCAATAAAGGAAACCTTTCTATTATTAAATCATATAATTTACAACATGCTACAAATCTCTACATAAATGTAACATTTCTTCATAATATAGGGTAACAATATTGCATTCATTTCGACAATTATATTGAAGAAGAAATTGATTTTTTCCTTTATAGTTACTATCACTTCCAAAGCTGGGGTTGTTAATATTGGCGTTTGATTGTTTATTCTTTATGGTTGGGTTGGTTATATTTCTTTGTTTTACTAGTTGATACAGTGGGTATGGCAACAGACCGTATTTTGTAAGAAAAAACTATTTTATATATATTTATGGGACTTTTAGAAAGTTAAAATAGAAAGGAATTAGGTCAATAGTTTCATAAATGGAAAATAGAGTACATATAGTGGAAAATGTTAATAAATAACGAAACAAATTCGCGAGTAATATAATTTGTTTCTTTAAGTATGTTAGTGTCAGGAGCCTAATAATAAGTCTTCGGGTTGTACACTTATAAAAGTATTGAAAGAAGTATTAAAAACATACATTTTTACTAACATTGGGGAAATATCAATATTTTAATAGTACTACTAACTACTGTTCAATATCCGTTAGTACTTTCCTGTTTTTCCAAGCTCTTCAAATACTCTATATGCAAAGATTGTAAATGCAGTTTTTGCTTCTGTTTTTTAAAGGTATAACAATTTAATTCCCTTTTTCATTGTTTCCATTTCGGTGTATTTTTTTTTCTTACTAAAATTTATCTTCTTATTTTCTTTACTTTTTTATTTTTAAATGAATTTTAATTTATGGTTATTTTTCCTTTTGAGTTTAACCAACAAAATGTTGAATTTTTACAAATATTTTTCCTAGATTTAGAAGAAAAATAAAGAAATGTAATCCTATTTTCCCGTTTTAAATACATATATTTTTATTGTGCCACATGTTTAACGTTGAATTTTGAGTTCTTTTATTATTCTGACTTTCTTATAATCTACCTTTAAATTTGTTTCTATTGTTGGTTTCGAAAAACGGTCTCAAAAGCGGAAATACTACAAATTGTACTCTCTTGTTCCTTTAAACTTCTATATGAAATGGTCATATATTTACATTTGAATGTGTACATCCCAGTAAACATATTAATTTGAAGATAACAATTTTAACCACTTTCACAGACCGAAGTGTCTATTCAGAAAGTTAAGTTCAGTTCAGTTCAAGTCTAGTTCTAGTTCAGTTCAAGTTCACTTCTAGTTCAGTTCTAGTTCTAGTTCTAGTTCAGTTCTAGTTCAGTTCTAGTTCAGTTCTAGTTCAGTTCTAGTTCAGTTCTAGTTCAGTTCTAGTTCAGTTCTAGTTCAGTTCTAGTTCAGTTCTAGTTCAGTTCTAGTTCAGTTCTAGTTCAGTTCAGTTCAGTCTAGTAGTTCTAGTTCAGTTCTAGTTCAGTTCTAGTATTTCAGTCTCTAGTTCAGTTCTAGTTCAGTTCTAGTTCAGTTCTAGTTCAGTTCTAGTTCAGTTCTAGTTCAGTTCTAGTTCAGTTCTAGTCAGTCTAGTTCAGTTCTAGTTCGTCATGTTCAGTTCTAGTTCAGTTTCTAGTTCAGTTCTAGTTCAGTTCTAGTTCAGTTTCATTCAGTTCTAGGTTCTGTTCTAGTTCAGTTTCTAGTTAGTTCTAGTTCAGTTCTAGTTCAGTTCTAGTTCAGTTCTAGTTCAGTTCTAGTTCAGTTCTAGTTCAGTTCTAGTTCATTTCTAGTTCAGTTTAGTTCAGTTCTAGTTCAGTTCTAGTTCAGTTCTAGTTCAGTTCTAGTTCAGTTCTAGTTCAGTTCTAGTTCAGTTCTAGTTCAGTTCTAGTTCAGTTCTAGTTCAGTTCTAGTTCAGTTCTAGTCAGTTCTAGTTCAGTTCTAGTTCAGTTCTAGTTCAGTTCTAGTTCAGTTCTAGTTCAGTTCTAGTTCAGTTCTAGTTCAGTTCTAGTTCAGTTCTAGTTCAGTTCTAGTTCAGTTCTAGTTCAGTTCTAGTTCAGTTCTAGTTCAGTTCTAGTTCAGTTCTAGTTCAGTTCTAGTTCAGTTCTAGTTCAGTTCTAGTTCAGTTCTAGTTCAGTTCTAGTTCAGTTCTAGTTCAGTTCTAGTTCAGTTCTAGTTCAGTTCTAGTTCAGTTCTAGTTCAGTTCTAGTTCTAGTTCAGTTCTAGTTCAGTTCTAGTTCAGTTTAGTTCAGTTCTAGTTCAGTTCTAGTTCAGTTCTAGTTCAGTTCTAGTTCAGTTCTAGTTCAGTTCTAGTTCAGTCTAGTTCAGTTCTAGTTCAGTTCTAGTTCAGTTCTAGTTCAGTTCTAGTTCAGTTCTAGTTCAGTTCTAGTTCAGTTCTAGTTCAGTTCTAGTTCAGTTCTAGTTCAGTTCTAGTTCAGTTTCTAGTTCAGTTCTAGTCAGTCTCTTCAGTTCTGTTCAGTTCTAGTTCAGTTCTAGTTCAGTTCTAGTTCAGTTCTAGTTCAGTTCTAGTTCAGTTCTAGTTCAGTTCTAGTTCAGTTCTGTCAGTTCTAGTTCAGTTCTAGTTCAGTTCTAGTTCAGTTCTAGTTCAGTCTAGTTCAGTTTCTAGTTCAGTTCTCGTTCAGTTCTAGTTCAGTTCTAGTTCAGTTCTAGTTCAGTTCTAGTCAGTTCTAGTTAGTTTCTAGTTCAGTTCTAGTTTTCAGTTCTAGTTCAGTTCTAGTCAGTTCAGTTCAGTTTCTAGTTCAGTTCTAGTTCAGTTCTAGTTCAGTTCTAGTTCAGTTCTAGTTCAGTTCTAGTTCAGTTCTAGTTCAGTTCTAGTTCAGTTCTAGTTCAGTTCTAGTTCAGTTTCTAGTTCAGTTCTAGTTCAGTTCTAGTTCAGTTCTAGTTCAGTTCTAGTTTATGGTTCAGTTCTAGTTCAGTTCTGTTCAGTTCTAGTTCAGTTCTAGTTCAGTTCTAGTTCAGTTTCTAGTTCAGTTCTAGTTAGTTCAGTTCTAGTTCAGTTCTAGTTCAGTTCTAGTTCAGTTCTAGTTCAGTTTAGTCAGTTCTAGTCGTTCTAGTTCAGTTCTAGTTCAGTTCTAGTTCAGTTCTAGTTCAGTTCTAGTTCAGTTCTCAGTTCTAGTTCTAGTTCAGTTTCTTAGTTCAGTTCTAGTTCAGTTCTAGTTCAGTTCTAGTTCAGTCTAGTTCAGTTCTAGTTCAGTTCTAGTTCAGTTCTAGTTCAGTTCTAGTTCAGTTCTAGTTCAGTTCTAGTTCAGTTCTAGTTCAGTTCTAGTTCAGTTCTAGTCAGTTCTAGTTCAGTTCTAGTTCTATTCTAGTTCCCGGAAAGCATTTTTTTGAACCCCATATTTAAATGTTTGTTTGCTGGAGTATTTATGCTCACATGCCGTTTGTGTTAATATGTTAGAATTAGGTTAAAAGTGTTGTAATATGGAAAGCAATGAACTTTATGTTTGCTTTCCTTCTTCATTTACCAGTCTTCTCTTGCTCTCTTCCTCTCTTTTAAACACTCCTTTAACTTCCTTTTCTGTAATAAACTGTTACTGATTTTTTTACTTTTGTTGTGTGTTCATTCGTTTCATATTTCATTGCTTCATCTTCTTGTTGCCCTGCCGCACGTTTAAAGTAGACAATTTACATTGTTTTTCAAGTGAAACATTTGGTACTCTGCGGTTCTTTATTTATTTTGTATCGTTTTTTCCTGGTATTTTATTAAATATTTAAAATATCGACATACATTTTTTAAGCTTTTAGTATGAGTGGTAACGGTATGTAAATTCTATTGACATCTTCTGTTATGTAGAAGAAAAAAAAATTTAAATGGTCGAAACATGTTTTAGGTTATTTTCTTTAATTTATTTATTTGGGGGTTTTAAGGTTTTAACAATTTTTGATAACTCGATATATTTATAGTGAGTTTTAAAGATATATTTATAGTGATTTTAAAGTCTGAGCTAACTAAAGGCTAACATTGAAATAATGAAATGGACATTTATTGAAATGTCAAAGTGCGATATTGTTGTTGTGCTAAAACTTTAAAAAAAATTAAAATTAGAAGGCAATTTTGATAAGTCATACAAATCAGATGAATTTTCAAAATTGTTTTCTAACTGGTATATTGGTATATTTTCTAATAAACTTCTCTTTATTAATAAATATTTATTCATTCATTTAGTTAGGTACTCATCTCGAGATTTATAAACATCTATAATAAATTTCAAAAAACCAATTAACAAATTTAAATAATAAATTCATTTCACAGTACAATACTTCCAAAATTGAAAACAAATACCTTCCAACCTACAGACATACAATGTATCAATTTCATTATCATATTTAGAAAATCATCTATAGAGACGTAATAATTAAAAATTACCCTAAATAGATATTCTCGTACATTTAAATCTAGTTCATTTCCTTTTCTTAACACAGAACAACAACCAAAACAAAAACAACTATCAATTATGTATGTAAATCTGTAGCAACAGAAACATTCTCAGTTATACATCCGACAATTTACGAAATATGTATCAGCAGCAACAACAACAACAACAAGAACAACTACAAAGTAGTTTAGTTGTACAATATTATTTTTAAATACATATTTAAGTATATTTTCTACTTATAAGGAGAAATCAATAAACATTTTTTTGTAACAAATTTTATTTAAATGACATTTATAATTTACAACAAAAAGTACATTTGAAATTTACAAGAAATTGTAGTAAAAAATGGTAGAAATATGTAAAAAATACAACAAATTACGCAAATTGCCAAGTGTAATAGAAGCAACAATAATAACAACGAAAATCGCCAACATTTGTTTGAACTCAATGTGTATTTAAATAAACACTAGTCAAGCAAACAAATGCAAGACACTTTTATACGAGGATTGTTTAAAAGTATGTGATTAAAAAATTTATTGATTACTCTGGAAGTTCTTAGGTAGATAGATAGATAGATAGATAGATAGATAGATAGATAGATAGATAGATAGATAGATAGATAGATAGATAGATAGATAGATAGATAGATAGATAGATAGATAGATAGATAGATAGATAGATAGATAGATAGATAGATAGATAGATAGATAGATAGATAGATAGATAGATAGATAGATAGATAGATAGATAGATAGATAGATAGATAGATAGATAGATAGATAGATAGATAGATAGATAGATAGATAGATAGATAGATAGATAGATAGATAGATAGATAGATAATAGATAGATAGATAGATAGATAGATAGATAGATAGATAGATAGATAGATAGATAGATAGATAGATAGATAGATAGATAGATAGATAGATAGATAGATAGATAGATAGATAGATAGATAGATAGATAGATAGATAGATAGATAGATAGATAGATAGATAGATAGATAGATAGATAGATAGATAGATAGATAGATAGATAGATAGATAGATAGATAGATAGATAGATAGATAGATAGATAGATAGATAGATAGATAGATAGATAGATAGATAGATAGATAGATAGATAGATAGATAGATAGATAGATAGATAGATAGATAGATAGATAGATAGATAGATAGATAGATAGATAGATAGATAGATAGATAGATAGATAGATAGAGATAGATAGATAGATAGATAGATAGATAGATAGATAGATAGATAGATAGATAGATAGATAGATAGATAGATAGATAGATAGATAGATAGATAGATAGATAGATAGATAGATAGATAGATAGATAGATAGATAGATAGATAGATAGATAGATAGATAGATAGATAGATAGATAGATAGATAGATAGATAGATAGATAGATAGATAGATCATAAAACATATTCTTCATTGTTATTTCTTTACAAATTTCTATTTTTTGTTTTAAAATAACTTAAGTCCATTTTGAGCTATTCCTCATAATCGAGACTTATCCAACTATCTTCCTTTCTTTTTTTATCAACACATGTACTGAAATTATTGCATAAAGAGAAGGTCGGACGTTTAATCGGTCTGTCGCTATGTCTGCACATGCATTTATGTCTACAAAAGTAACTAGAATTTTGAGTCAATGTAAATACTTTAAGATACTTATAAGCTTTGACTCTTAAACGACAACAAGAATATTTACTAATCGTAAACGATAAACCTTTATGTCTATTTCATGCTTCTACTTCTTCTTGTTTTTTGTTGTAGTTGTCATAGCTGCTCTTGCAATAGAAAACGATTTAAATTGTTTTTGCTTTTTATTGTTTCTTAATTGACAATTACAAATGTTTTAGTGGAGCAAGAAATTATACTACATAGTGATGACAATTAAGTGCTTTTTTCGTAATTATAGAAATGGAAATCTCTGGGAATTAATATTTGGTACTTTTTCGTTCTCCAATTGGTATTTTTTTAAGTTCTTTTTTCGTAATATTTCACGTAGAAACCGACAATCAGTTATATAGGAACCTGATGGAATGAAAATCTATAAGAGTGAACTTTTTAGTACTTTTTGTTCTTAAACTGGTACTTTTTTGAATGAATGAAAATTTATAAAAGGGAAGTTTCAGATACTTTTTAATAATATTCTATAGTCATGAATTATTGAACTTTGTAACATAAAGTGATAGGATCCCAATGAAATGAATATACATACATATGTATATAAGACTAAACTTTTTGGTACTTTTTCTTTCTTCAATTGGTACTTTTTGAATCTTTTTTTAATATTAGCTTCTTGATTAAAGGAAAATCTACAGAATGGGTTATGTTTATTTTATTTAATTACGATGAGGGTACCATTGTACACCGGGTAATGCTAGTTTATAGATAAAGTAATAACAACAATAGTGGTTGGCATGAACCAAAGTGAATTTTCACGTTTTTGTTTTATTATTACGATTTTTTCGTTCATTCAATCATTCGTTCGTTTTTTTTCTTGTCTTGCTTTCTTTTATAACATTGGTTGTGCTATTTGTATTAACGGCATGTTGCTGTTTATACATAAACATACAAATACAATCAAATACATACTTATAAGTATATATACATATGAAAACTAAGGATAACGATGTTTTTATGTGAATATGTGTGTGTGTTTGAATCCTTTTCGCTTAAATATAAAATTGTGAGTAATGTTAATGAAATATTTTGAACTATTTCAAACAGAAATAATACAACAACAAACTGCTACTGTTGTTTTAGAACTCAACTAACTCAGCAATAATATTTCAATTAACAATATTTTATAGATTATATAGATATATACATATATAGGGTCTAAACGAAATGATTCATTCATTTAATATTTTCTCTAATTTCTAATTCTATAATAACAGACTGTATGTTATTATGAGTGCAGGCAGAAAACTAAAATTAATATAAATAAGTTGTTTTTTATTGCAGCGAAATAACTTTTGATGTGAATGTTAAATCCTTCTTCGTTCTTTTTTTTCCTACATCTTACTATTTTCTCGTTTTTGAGCTAAATCGTTTTTATGTATTACATTTAAGAAGGATTTATGTTGTTGACATAAATTAGGATATTGCCTTATTAAACATTGCAACTTACTAAATCTATTTTTGTCAAAAATTAGGTTTAATAACTATTATTATACATATTCGTACTAATATAAAGGATGGTAATTGCAAATTTTAAGTAAAAATTTAAATTTGTAGTAAAAATTTAAATTTTTAGGGAAATTTTGAATTTTTAGTGAAATTTTGAATTTTTTTGAAATTTTTAGTTTATATGGTAAATTTTGAATTTTTAGTGAAATTTTGAATTTTTAGTGAATTTATAATTTTTAGTGATAATTTTAATTTTTTGTAAAATTTAGGTTTTTAGGGAAAATTTTTTTTTTTTTTTTTTGTGAAAATTTTAATTTTCAGAGAAAATTCGATTTTTTTTGTGAAAATTTTGAACTTTTAGTAAAAATTTGAGTTTATTGCAAAAAAGTTTTCAGACTATAGTTATAGACCAGACTATAGACCAGACTGTAGTCTATAGGCCAGACTGTAGTCTATAGACGAGACTGTAGTCTATAGACCAGACTGTAGTCTATAGACCAGACTGTAGTATATAGACCAGACTGTAGTCTATAGACCAAGTTTTAGACCAGACTATAGACCAGACTATGGACCAGACTATAGGCCAGACTATAGGTCAGACTATAGACGAGACTATAGACGAGACTATAGACCAGACTGTAGACCAGACTATAGACCAGACTGTAGACCAGACTATAGACCAGACTATAGACCAGACTATAGGCCAGACTATAGACCAGACTATAGACCAGACTATAGACCAGACTATAGACCAGACTATAGACCAGACTATAGACCAGACTATAGACCAGACTATAGACCAGACTATAGACCAGACTATAGACCAGACTATGGACCAGACTATGGACCAGACTATAGACCAGACTATGGACCAGACTATGGACCAGACTATGGACCAGACTATAGACCAGACTATAAAACAGATTATAGACCAGACTATAGACCGGATTATAGACCAGACTATAGACCAGACTATAGACCAGTCTATAGACCAGACTATAGTCTATAGACCAGACTATAGTCTATAGACCAGACTATAGTCTATAGACCAGACTATAGAACAGATTATAGACCAAACTATAGTCTATAGACCAGACTATAGTCTATACTTTATACTTTTAGACTTTAGTCTATAGTCCAGACTATAGTTTGTTGTCTTTTGTTACGTTAGACTAGGTCCAGACAAGTGTAAATTTTTAAGATTTGTATCTTTATTTCATTTTTATACCCTACACCCTTTTAGTGGTGAGGGTATATTGGGTTTGTGCTGATGTTTGTAACGCACAATAATATTGGTCCTATACCCACCTTAAAGTATACCAATCGGCTTAGAATGAGTCGATTTAGCTATGTCCGTCCGTCCATATAAACCTTGTAATGAAACTACAAGTCGTAATTTTGAAGATAATTCAATTTGGTACATGATCTTCTACTGTCCCAGGGACGAAGCCTATTGAAAATGGTTAAGATCGGTCCATTATTTCATCACTGAACCCCCGAATAGGCCTTTTAAGTTCATAACTATGTTTAATATACTCCTATCTCGATAAAAAGCTGTAAAACCAAGTTCTATACTAGACTTAATAACCCTCATGAATTTTATAATTATAGGGCCTAATTTGAACCTAGCCCTATAAAAAGCCCCCTTCAAAATTTGACTTAAATGTCCACAATTTTATTCAACAATAAATGGCTTAAGTATATCTGAGACAAGGTACAATTTAACTTAAAAGCTTTATTATGAAAACTAAATCACATTTTATTTTTGTAACAGGTGTAGGGTATTATATGGTCGGGCACGCCCGACTATAATTTCTTACTTGTTAATCTTTTCACTGTTCATTTTTCTATATTTAGTATAAACATTATTTATAAATTAGCAACAATGTATGAATGTGAGTAATAATAAATTTAAATAATTTTAAATTTTGACTGGGCGTATAATTTATATTTATTAATTTCTTGAACTCATTACGTATGCGTGCCGTATGAATACTTTATAATCATACTACTAGGCGTATAATTAATATAGAAAATGCAACAATTGAAACTTTTTAAAGTAAATAAATAAAAATTCCAAAAAATTTAAATACATATACAACTTAAACGTGACTTTTTTTAAATTTACATAACAAAATTTAGGTACATACATATATACATATGTAATTTTTTAATGCATATAAAATTCAGCTAATTTTTCTTTTTTAACAAAAACTGGTATTTTTTTTCTTTTGCCTATTGCAGGTGTTTGGTTTATATTCCCCTTAAGAATTGAAAAGAATGAAGGTTTTTTCAACATTTGACTTAAACTAAAGCAAGAATTATAAGCGAAAGGAACAAGAATACCTAACAACAACAACTACTACCACAGCAGCAATAACATTAGCAGCACACAAGCAAATTTAGTAACGTGAGCAGTGAGTGAATGGGAATACGAGCGAAGAAAAAGTGTGAAATAGCGCACAAAGAAAAATTCAAAAAATAAAAAAAATCCTAATAAAAAGAAAAATGCTGGTGCATTGAAAACAGAAAAATAAAGTTTAAGCAACGAAGCACAGGATATATTTCAAACCCCCCTCCTCTCCATATTAAAGCATACAACAACAGCAACAGAAAATCTTCTCCAACAAAAGCAACAATAAAAATTGGCAGAGTAATATAATCTCACGAATTAACAGTTCCATACATACAATTGAGGTGTAAATAGAGGAAAAAAAAATACCAAAGGAAAATAATTGAAAAGGGTGAGAATAGAAGAGTACGTAGTAAATTAGTTAAAAATAAACACAGAGAAACAAAAACAACTACAACTAAAAAGAGAGAGGCTTAAAGCAATTAAATACACAACAAAGTAAATTGCAATTAAAACGACACAAGACACGACGTCAACAAAACAAACAATACAACAAGCTACTGTTGCTGCCGCTGTTAGTGGATTACCAACAACTACAACATCATCATCTACAACTACACATCAACAAACATCACAACAACAGCAATCACAAAAAGCTTTAACTGCTGCCCACACTTATCCACAGCTTCAGCAACACCATCAACTACATTTACAATTAAATCCAACAACAGCGGCAGCAGCAGTAGCAGTAGCAGCAGCACCACCAACAACATCAGAAGCAGCAACAACATCAGCAACAGCAGCGGCGGCAGCAGCAGCCACTTCCTCCACCTCCATTACAGCTAAAACTTCAAAACCGCAGACAACAAGTGCAGCGACTACCAGCCGTAGTCGCCATAATCGACGTAGTAACAGTACCGGCATCACCACGAATCCACACGGTAAAAGCGGCGGTACCACAACGGCGTCTAACATTAAACAAAGCGCCAGTCGCAACAGCAACATACGCAGTTCTTCGTCCAATAGCACAATGGCCTCTTCCAATCATCGGGGCGGGGGTGGCGGCGGAGGAGGCGGTGGTGGCGGTGGTCCCTCCAGTTCAGGCTTACAAATTGGCTCAGCGTGGTTTCAGCGCAAAATCAATTTACGACCACAACATCGAGGTGTTCATTTAGTAACTGAAGAAATTCTAAGACAAATGCCTGAATTGGGACAATTTTCAGTGGGATTATGTCATGTGCAAAGTAAGTACAGAAGAGATTAAAAATGAAAATAAAATCTACAAGGTTTTTCCTCATTTTATTTTAACAAATATATACAAATGTTAGATTTCTTTGTTTATTAAAAAAAAAACAGTTTCCTTGTTCTTGAGCCAGAAAATTTTTGAGAAAAAAGGGAGAAGTAAAAGAGAAAAACAAATTTAAAAGCTTTGTTTGATGAAAACTTTATAGAACAATAGTTTTTTTCTTTTCAATTTATTTATTATTATTATTTTTTTGTGTGAAAATCTATGTTTATTTGTAGAAAAGAACATTTTCTTGTGATTAAAAATGTAAAAAAGAAATATTTTTATTTGTATGATTTTAATTTAAAATACCTAAACAGTGGTAAAAATAAAAAGATATTCTTATAAATTTTCATTCCATCGGATTCCAATAATTCAGAAAATCAAAAAAGTACTATTTCAATGATGATAATTTTCGTTCATTTAGTATGCTGCGCGTTTAATTGTGTGTTTGTATGTTCAATATTATACAAATTTCAAAAACCGCCAGTTGAAGAACAAAAAGTACCAAAAAATACACTCCTATAGATTTTCATTCCATCAGGATCCTATATATCAGATTACATGTTTCTTGGTTCAATAATCCATAATGTCAAAAAAGTACCATTTGAAGGAAGAAAAGTACCAAAAACTCCACTTTTTATAAATTATCATTTAAAAAATCAATAAGTACCAGTTGAAGAAAAAAAAAAAAGTACCAAAATACCTATAGATTTCCATTACATTAGGTTCCTATATATAAAAAAAGTACTAATTGAATGGCGTAAAAGTACCCTTTTATAGATTTGCATTCAATCAGTATGCTGCGTGTTTAGTTTTTACTTTCTACATTCGAAAAGTACCAGTTGAAGAACAAAAGGTACCAAAAAATTAACTCCTATAGATTTTCATTCCATCAGGATCCTATACTTATGTCTGATTTTATGTTTTTAGCTCCAATAATTCAGAAAATCAAAAAAATAACAATTGAAAGATAAACAAGTAAGAGTACTATATTCGGCTGTGCCGAATCTTATATACCCTTCACCATGATGTGTCAAAAAACAGTCAGTACGAATTTTATTGCAAAAAAATCAAAAAATACCAATTGTGTCCCATTTTATACGTTCTAACTTAATCCGTGCTCTTCATGCTTAATTTCATATTTCTAGGTTCAATATTATAGAAATTTCAAAAAGTACCTTTGTAAAACGAAAAAGTACCAAAAAGTCCCCTTTTATAGGTTCTTACTTAGTCAAGGCCCTACATGCTAAATTTCATGTTTCTAGGTTCAATATTATAGAAAATTCAAAAAGTACCTTTTGTAGAACGAAAAAGTACCAAAAAGTCACCTTTTATTTGTTCTGACCTAATTCGGGCTCAACATACTTAATTTCATGTTTCTAGGTTCAATATTATAGAAAATTAAAAAAGTACCTTATGTAGAACGAAAAAGTACCAAAAAGTCCCCTTTTATAGGTTCTTACCTAGTCAAGGCCCTACATGCTAAATTTCATGTTTCTAGGTTCAATATTATAGAAAATTCAAAAAGTACCTTTTGTAGAATGAAAAAGTACCAAAAAGTCCCCTTTTTTGTGCTCTGGCCTAATCCGGGCTCTACATATTTAATACCATGTTTCTAGGTTCAATATTATAGAAAATTCAAAGAGTACCTTTTGTATAACGAAAAAGTACCAAAAAATCCCTTTTTATAGGTTCTTACTTAGTCAAGGTCCTACATTCTAAATTTCATGTTTCTAGGTTCAATATTATAGAAAATTCAAAAAGTACCTTTTGTAGAACGAAAAAGTACCAAAAAGTGCCCTTTAATGTGTTCTCGCCTAATCCGGGCTCTACATATTTAATTTCATGTTTCTTGCCAATAACAACGTAACGTGATGTTCATTCTTTGCTTTGTGTTTATAAACAAGAATTACAATAACAAATAACAAAAAAAATTTACTGTTTGATACTGTGTTTTGTTTTTGTTTGTTTATTGTTTTGTATAAGCATGCACGAAAAAAGTAAATTTTTGATGAAATTTTCAGAGGTGGTCTCGGATTTTTACTCATATCTTCGTTATTTATGGGCCGATTGGGCTGATTTTAAATAGCGTTCTATTCGACCGTATTTCCGATAGAATTATTGAAAATTCGGATCTCGCAGATATCTGGGGTCTTCTGAAAACTGATTTCAACATACACACAGACAGACAGACGGACAGACGGACATGGCTAAATCGACTCCGTTATCTATAAGGATCCAGAATATATATACTTTATAGGGTCGGAAAATTATATTATAGAAATTACAAACGGAATGACAAACTTATATATACCCTTCTCACGAAGGTGAAGGGTATAAAAAGTACCAGAAAGTCCCCTTTTTATACATTTTCAATTATCGATATGCTGCGTGTTCAAAACGTACCAGTTAAAGAAAAAATAGTACCAACATTTTCTCTCTTATAGATGTTCATTCCCTCGGGTTCCTTTACATATGTATGATTTTATATTTTTGACTTCAATACTGCAGAAAAACAAAAAAGTACCAGAAACCTTTCCTACAGATTTTCATTCACTCAACGCTCTGAATGTTTAATTTTATGTTTTTAGGGTTCAATATTATAGAAAATTCAAAAAGTACTTTTTAAGAAAGAAAAAGTACCAAAAAATTCCTTCTTATAGATTCTTATTTAGTCCGGGATTTTCATATTTCAATATTATAGAAAACTAAAAAAGTATCAGTTAAGAACGAAAAAGTACCAAAAATAATTCTTGATACCTGAGTTAAAAATAACACCCCACTAGTATATATAATTTTTAAATACTCTACCATCCCTGCTTAATTTACCACACACACAAATTTCCATCTCTGATTTTGCTAATAACAAAACAATAACAACACTGAGCTTCATACGTAACGTATTGTTCTTGCTCTGTATTGTTTTTATAAACAAACAAACAAACTTAGTACAAGAACAGTATTTATCATATGTTGTTGTTGTTTTATCTGTTTGTCAAAACATGCACAAAAATTATGACATTTTCAGAGGTTGTCTTGGATTTTTGTTCATATCTCCGTTATTTATGAATCGATTTTGCTGATTTTAAATAGCAAGCTTTTCGAATGCTTGTCTGATAGAATTATTAAAGATTTGGATCCCGAAGATTACTGGGGTATACAGAAAATTCTTTCATTCAACAGATAGCTTAATCGACTCGAGTTTTAATAACAGATTTTCTCCTTTACATCTGGGATTTGAGATATCGGGTCCTGAAATTTGAAAAAAACGCATTTTTTTCCCTTTTTGTGACAACTATATTTATAAAATGTTGGATACCATCTGAAAGTCCATTCTGTCAACTTTAAAATAAAGGCTTAACATCTGACATATCTTCTTTATTCTTCGAGATATATATCTTTACCTAAATCTTTAAAACTCATGGTTGTGGTTGTGTCTTCATGGTAGGGGTAGGGTATTATGCTTTATAAATATTGTTTATAACGAACAGTAATATTGGATCCACACCTATCTAAGGAACTTCCAATCGACTATAAATCACTTTTTGATTCATCTTAACAATGTCTGTCCTTCCGTCACCAAACAGCAATTCTTAAAGTATTTTCATAGGAAAAATCAAGCTTCAGGTGTAGATAATTCGATGAAAAGAGAAGATATATCAGATGTTAAGCCTCTATTTTAAAGAAATTCTGAGATCAAATTGGGATTCAGCGCGTCTTAATCCTTTACAAAAGTATACTTTAGTCACGGGTTTAAAAATTTGTCAGTCTGTGTAGTACATGGAGCAGTTATAGATAAAGTGACTAAGATGGCCTAAAGACTGTTTCATATATATTTTTATATACTTTTCATTTTGTCAAGTATTTCTTCAAACAATCCCACTGTCCGATACATATCTTAAGCAAACTAATCAAAAACAATAGCAATATTTCTCTCATATTTAAAAGAAATCAATGACAACTGCAAAAAAGGTCTACAATTTGTATTTTCTTCTACCATTCCACCCTCATTTACCTTAAGAAATTAAAAACACATTTGACCTAATTTTATAGATAACCCAGCAAAAACATGGTAATGTATTGTATTTAATAACTTACATTTCAATGACTACTACATACCGCGTGCATTACCTAGATGTAGTCTAAAAATAACTTATAAATTATATTATATGTAAGTACTTACTTTTTAACAGTGACATTTTGTTTTTTTATACAAACGAAAAGAAGTTTTTTTTTTGTGAAAACAAAAACAAAACTACTTACTTAACTCTTTATATGCAGGTTGTAGTAAGTACTTACATAACTCCCTCTTTTTAAGCGAGAGTGGTAAGAACCGTTTTAAAATTATGACTTAAAATGCTTTTCATTGTAAGCTTTTGCTGGGAGTTTTCTAAATATTAACAACACATGATGATGAAAAATCTATCCAAAAAACCAAACAAAAAAACTCATAAAAAACGACTACAACCAAGAAAAAAATTAAATATTAATATTCTTTTCTAAGCAACACAAACAAATAATAAAAAAATTGCCATCAATCTCAAAATTTCCATAAAAGTTTAAATGAAGCACAAAAAAATAAGGCGCTAAAATATTTTATGTGACAAAAACATGATTTCCTCTACATATGTATATTTGTCTGTCTGTCTCTTTGTCAGTCTTTCATTAAGGCAGCTTCGGTTTACAATAATAATAAAATAATAAAAAAGTACCAGTTAAAGAACGAAAAAGTACCAACAAATGTTTTTAATACCCTTGAAGACCATTACCATATTTACTCTTAAAAAATATAAATTTTTTTCAAATTTTATCAAAATTATTCAACGAGTCCTAATAGATAGCTATTTAGCCATGTCAGTCTGTCTATATGCGTGTATGAATGTCGAAGTGAACAAGGTTCAAGGTTGTCTTTTTTAACCCAGAGGGTGAGATTTTGTAACGAATCCCCAACGACCC